CTTTTGACATTGTCCATGGGCTTTTCTTGGCAAGGATACTGGAGTGGGTTGCCACTTCCTTCTCCAGTGGACCACATTTTGTCAGAACTCTGTCATGACCTGTCCGTCTTGGGTGGCCCTGCACGGTATAGTTCATGGCTTCACTGAGTTATGCAAGCCCCTTCGCCATGACAAGGCAGTGATCCAGGAAGGGGCTAGTCATATATAATGATCTCATAAACCCCATCCAGCCAATATTAATATTTTTCCAGCATGCTAGAAAAATACTTGTCTGTACCCTTGAAAACAATTATTTGATCAGCATTATATATTGGCTAGGGCACATTAAGGACAGCTTTTAAAGTTTGTAGATCAAACAATTATCCATGTGCCAGAAGTCAGTCAATTGCCCAGGAAAATTAAAAAAAAAAAAATGAAAAGAAAAAAAAAACCCAAGTAGGAGTGACTTTTTCAGGATCTGGAAACTAAAGAACTGAGACCTAATGCCACTACAGAATGAAGAGAAGTGCCAAGTCTGTCTTGGTGCTTCTGTCTTAATGTCTCATATCAACAATTCATTCCAAATGCCAGGTGACTGGATCCAATCTATATGGTTTTACATGCTTTTTATATGTTTTGATATTATATTTGGGGGGGTGGGGGTTGTGCTGTTTTTAATTGTTGGAAGCTGCCCAGAGTCATGTATTCAGGATGGGCAGCCATATAAATCAAAATAATGAACAAACAAACATTTCCATCTTTAAGAATGACAACAGCACAAACCTTTACATTACCATGCAGTTGGCTATTAAGCATGCCTAGTAAAAATATACCCACTTCTTTCATTATAATTTATTGGATTGGCTCGACCAGCAGAAACTCCTAGCTGAGGAGCAAGCAGGATTATAGAAGTCAGATCCACAATGGATCAGTATCCATCTTACAATTTCTAATAGAGAAATGGATATATTGGCAAAACACCCCAATATGTTGCTTTTGTTGACTTAAAATCAGCTTTCAATTCTATTCCAATGGACAGACTCTCACATCTACTGATTGGCAGCTACTTTTCCTAATTAGGAAGCTGTACGAAAACACGGTCATCCAAGTCAGATGTGAAACAGCTGGTACCTTCCAATCCACCAAGTAGTGAAACAGGGTTGTATTCTAGCTCCTCTATTGTGTAACACCCATGTGAATTTTGTGATAGATTCCTTAACCAAAAGGAACTCCACCCTCCCAAACTTAGTAGCAGGCATTTGGCAGTACTGCTTTATGCCAATGATGCAGCAATTCTTTTGTTTTTGTGGGAGTTTTTGTTTCAGTAGGAGTCCTTAGTGGAATTCTGTAAGAAGAAATGGTTTACAATCAATGACCCTAAGACTCAAATGATGGTTTTCTTGGAAGGACCTAGTCACCACAAACATCAATGGCAAATTGGAAATAATAATGCTGAACAGGTTTCAGCTTTCAAATGCCTTGGCATAATTTTTCAAGCCTCCTGAGCTTGTCAGGAAAAAAATAGGCTCATTTCTGCTGAAACTATCAATGGCACCAAGGCAATCCTGCTTTTCTTTTTCCCCCATTCTAAATGAGGCAGATGCATAACTGCCACCATCAAGCTTTTTAAAGCTAAAACTATATCTGAAATGCTGTATGGTACACTACACAGGTTTTTATAAGCACTCTTCCACATACTGTACTATGTTTCAAATACTTTATTCCATATGGAAACTGGTATGATTCCATTGGGTGTGGGAATGTATGTTTGCCAATTGTTTTAGTGGGTTAAAGTCCCGTTTTCTAGGGGCTCACTGGCTCTATTGATGTATTTGTTCATACCATATTAAGTTTTAAATGTTCATTATCAACTTAAGGAGTAAATGAAGCACAAGTCTTCAAGAGGAGATCATTTGGAAATGCTGAAATAAATCTAGGTCAAAAATTTCATTTCAGTATTAACTGAGCTTTCTTCTTAACTTAATCTTCTTGTAATTGAAGATGCAACAAAATATTTAGCATTTAAACTGAACTTTTCTTGAGTGCTAAAGAAATCTACATATATCAGCAGTCCATTAAACAGGATGGTAAAGTAGGTCAATATTATTCCATTTACGCTAGTGTTGGAAGAGTATTTTAAAGCGTTAATGCTTTGTGGGCTAAGATCAAATTTATATTGTAGCTTCCTAGCTCACAGTTTTACACATTGTTCCACATCAACAAGTTTGCAGTGTTTTAAGATACTTTTTAAGAAATCTAGTCAATTGCATGCATATCAGTTATCAAGTTACCCTTTTCCTGGGTGCACTGCTATAGATCTTGGCTGATCCAGTCCCTGAGATATGACAACATAGCGAAAAGAGCCATTAAGCCTGGAAACTTCAATAAAGTTGAAGCCATGATCTGTCCAATATATATTACCTGGAAGCAATCATAAAATGCAGTTACAGAGACATAAGCCTATCTTTAACCATATCAGTCATGACTACAAAGAAAATAAATATTAATATCAATTTTATGCAAATTACATTATTAAAAAGCAAAATCAGTGGACATATTTGTACTATTTCTGTTTGTACTGTGCTATTTGAGTATGCTTTCTTAAAATTCCTGTCAACTTCCTTATGTTAAGGCATCTACACCAAGACTGAGCAATCTATGGACAGCCAAATCACACGAGCCCTCCAAACCCAATTCTGGAACCTAAAGAAACCTCTCCACCCATATTTAACTTGTTAAAATGTGATAATCAATCACAATTTTTGACAGTGCAATTTTTCATATTTGTGGAGAGAAAGGGTAAAAGTGATTAGTCCACCTCAGACCCAACCTCACCTGAGTACCTATTTTGCATAAAAAAGATATTTCCCAACTGAATTAATCCCACCATCACCGTATCATTAGCTGTGTGATTTGTAGTTCTTGGAGAATTTGAAATAAATAAATAAAACAAAAAGTGAAGTTGCCAGAGGGAAATTGTCCCCACAAAAAGCCTCCCTTTAAAAAAAAAAAAAAAAAAAAAAAAAGAAATGGGCAAGGGGAAATTTCCCCCCAAAAAACCCCCCCTTTAAAAAAAAAAAAAAAAAGATAGAAGTAAAATAAATCATTTAATATTGTAAAGCAAACTGAAAGATTTGCTTGGCTATAAATCAGACAGAAAGTATAAAGTAAAATTATTATAAATAATATCAGCAATAACAACAACAGAAAACCTACCCACTATCCAATCCACTGCAATGCCTTCCACTCTTCCCAGACCATTTGTTATGATATCTTCCTTCCATGTCTGATCTCTGCTAGCTCTGCTTATTTTATTGAATCCCATGTCAGTCCAGTAGATTGTATCATTTCCTACAGAATAAATATTTAAAATACTGTTTCCAACAATATCTTGTTCTTAAAGATCCATACACTGATATTTTAGTTTGAAATGCTTCCATAACATTTTCCCTCCAATTCAACTTTGTTCCTTCCTGTTTCCTCCACAATTTGTAGATGTTTGGGTACAAAACCTACATGAAAATCAGTATATATGTCATATGCATTTTCTCCCCCTTTTTATATTTTTGCAGCTGTTTTCCCTTTTGTAGATCTATGTAACTGAGAAAGAAGAACAGTGATTTAGAAGTCCCAAAGTTACAGTACTTGTATGAGTAAATCATTTATTTACCTGCATGAAAATCTATACCAACAGCAAATGAAGTTCCTGTTATAGGCATTAATGCATCTGTTTTATCATTTGGATCAAGAGGAATTCCCCTGATTCCTTCATGAATAGAATACATGAGAAATGACTCTACACCTAAAAGAGAGAGAGAGAGAAAGAGAAAGAGAAAGAGAAAGAGAGAGAGAGAGAGAGAGAGAGAGAGAGAGAGAAATATTTCAGGAATACTGAAAATAATTATGATCACAAGCAATT